TGTTTCTCTAGGAGCAGTCCATTCGCGTGCAGCTTGATCCACATCTCCTCCTTCATGGTCGACTCCTCCCAAATCCGCATCTCCGCGGCGTACGGATTCGCTCCGGTCGTCTGCTTCTTCCCCCCCTTTGACACGGAGGCAGCTTCCCCCCCTTTGACACGGAGGCAGCGGTGGCGGTGGCTCTCTTTGATTTTGCCATCTTGCAGAAATTTATGAACTTTTTCACTTGCATTCACTGGCGGCGGCTAAGGTTTGTGAAATGAGCAAAAGCAAGAACACTAGCGGCGGCGGTGGGAATGAAAGGAGTAAAACCCTCATTTACCGCAAGGGATTATTTATAGGTACGGTCATAACCCTTCGGCTTCCCTGTTACCGCAGTGTGGATCTGGCGTTGTTCCGTTACTGGACTTCTACGATGGCCCAACTGGCCCTTCGACTTCTCCGCTGCTACAGTCTGAAGATGACACAACACCGTTATTGAGTTTGTAGACGGCCTGGATGGCTCTTTGATTTCCACGTTATGTGGCTTCATGCCGTTCACATGGTTCACCGTTCTTGACTGACAGCCATGCGGTTTCACAGTATTCATATTATGAAGCATCACAGATCAAAGACAAGTCTGATTTTTTTGGAAAATTTTTCATTGAAGAGTACAAATATTGGATACACCGATTTTCAGAAAATTACAAGTACAACACCTACTCGGCTATGACAAAGTACTCATACACTAAGTGCTTCTCAATAGGTACTTTCGTACCTGATGCACCTGGATCCAAGAGGGAAAGAGTAGTGCATCCGGGTAAATAACAGAAGTGGAGTGTGTCCTAACCTAGAACCTAGGAGATTGTCCGACTACCAACATTTGTTGGCCGCAGGAGGCAGCCTACTGGCTAGTATGTAGGATGAGCTCTTCACACATCTTTCCACCTAGCCAATGCCATCTGTACACATTTGGGTCAGGGTGTGACCCTTAATGGACAGACGTCGATAGTCACGCTCGAAGAACTGACATGGGATTGCTGGAAGTGACACTCTACCAGCCGTCACAAGACTTTTTCTAGTTATAGCTCTAGGCTACTCTACTGTGCACAACTACGGGTTTAGCCTACCTCTAAACCCTATCACAAGACTTCTTCTAGTCACTACAACACTTGGCTATACCAGCCGAGTACTCCCGCGGACTGGGCTACTTCACTAACCACCATATATGCAAGCTTCAAACTCAGAGCTACTTTGCTTCCTCTTTCGATGGGGTTCGAGTGCTCGCCAGGACAGTTTTTATAGGCTCTGGGGTCGTTTACATGGACTATGTTCACGGGAGCGAGGACAGTCAAGTTTCTAACTTTAATACAGGCTCACATGCCACACTACAAGGGATCAATGCGCCCCACTACACATTTTCAATGTGCAGCACAGCCTTATCTTAGCACATGTGAGGCAACAGTATATAGGATAGCATCTTTGCTGGCATATTCGACCAAATATTCTGAGCATCTTTTGGACCAGTGGTAATAGCCTTGCATGTGACTTTGACAAGTCTTACCAGCTTTCTTATAAGCAGACAAGACGACAATTATTGCTTACACTTATATCCTCGAGTATATTCTCTTATAAGATCCTTATCCCGAGTACACGTACTCGGGCATAGGCTCGGGGACTGCAGGGTACATGTCCTCTACGGTTGTTTTTTCTTCTTGACCCTCCAACTTTTTGTTCCAAACAGCAAGAGGCTCGGGGGCTATACTTAGTGAGTGCACTTTCTCGGAAAGCGCACACCACTTGAAGTTTTCAAGAGCACCTCATGGCTTCACTCATGAAAGCACTCGGACGATGCTTGTTTCTACTCGACAAGACCTAGAGGAACAAGAAGGCTTTTAAGTTCAACCATGACACGCTCGGAGGCTTGACAGACTAGGGTCATAGGGTTCCCCATAGGGGTTATCACTCGGATGGGCCCAGGGCTGGCCCACGATCTGTTGAAGAACGCAAGACAAGGTGACGTGGACTTCAGGCTATCTAGATCGACTTAGTCGGTTTACTACGAAAGCCAGATTCTATAATAGGATTAGGACTATTCCATTGTAACCGATTAGGACTAGACACGTGCCCTTACCCTCTCTCCTATATAAAGAGAGGTACGGCGCACCTCTTATAACCCTAACAATCATACCAATCAATCAAACGTAAAAAGGCTATACGTCGACTGGATGTAAAGGCTATTGATTGATCACGAGGGCTCGAACCAGTATAAACCGTTCGTCTCTTTGCGTTTACTGTCGAATTCTGCGTACGCCGAAGCGCTTCGAACATCGTCCCGGGTAACCACGTGACGAGTTACTAGTCATCAAACACCGACAGGGAGCGCTCGTGGGTGCGGCGGGGCCGGGGTCTGATCCACCAATTTGGTGGAGCAGATCCACTAGTGGAGCTGGTGAAGTTGGAGATATTTGGCAAACTTTTTCAGATCTAGCAGCCTGTTCGTTTGGCTGTGGCTTGTCGTAAACGATCGTAAATTTTCAGCTAGAACAGTATTTTTCTCTCACACAAACCAGCCAGCGGTACTTCTTCACGAACCAGCAACGAAACGAACCAGTCAACCGAACAGGCTGTAGATCTCAATTTGATGATCTAGAATTGATGAAGTTGTCCCAAACAGGTCCTTAGTATTTCCGGAGTACCAGATCGAGTGAAATCTCTTCTCAACGGGGTGGGGCCAGAGGGACGCGTGTCACGCGAAGAGGCGGTGTCGCACGCAAGTTACTGTGCGGCGGTGGCGCAGAGAAATTTTTTCTGTGTGCACCTAGCAAAATTGGCGCAACACAGGTTCTGATTGAGGCCTTGTTTAATTCCCAACCAAATTCTTAAAAAGTGCTACAGTAGCCATCACATCGAATCTTGCGATACGTGCATGGAGCATTAAATGTAGACGAAAAAAAACTAATTGCACAATTTGATTGAAAATTGCGAGACGAACGTTTTGAGCCTAATTAATCCATGATTGAATACTAATTACCAAATAAAAACGAAAGTGCTACAATAGCCAAATTCCCAAAATTCGCGGACTAAACGAGGCCTGACTTGACCTCTCCCCCGATTTTCATGCAGGAATGAATTCATCACTCGACCTCCGTTGCAGGCTTGCAGGGAGACTGCTCTGTGCAGCAATAAAATAAATAGACTGGGTATCTTCCACTGCAAGCCTCTTTTGGCCCCGTTCGCTGGTCTAAAACTTAATTAAAACTGGCTGAAAATACTGTTCCGATTAAATTGTTGTGAGAGAAAAACATTGTTCTGGCTGAAAAAAAGAAGCCGAACAAACCGAATGTGGGGTAAGCCGAACAGGGCCTTTATCTTCCGTTACGATGTCACCTTCCCTAAAATGACATCCCTAAAATGTTTACAACAAAATATGATTGATGCAAGTTTTGATCGAAAGAATTAAATCCAGATTGACCCCCCGTTCGTTTCGGCTTATACGATCGTGGATTATAAGCTGGAACAATATTTTTCTCTCACAACAAACCAGCCAGCAGTACTTCTGGCTTATAATCCACGATCGTTTCAGCCAAAACGAACAGACTGTGAGTTAGATTCAAATTGACAAGTTTGGCGAAACTTATGAAAACCAGCCCATCGTGGTGTGGGCTCGAAGTTAGATAAAATCGTCCCAGGCCGGTTTCCAAACCGACCGAACCAGATTTTGATTGTGTACTTGTCTGAGGATGGATAAACCCACCCAGGCTGATATTGCCTGTTTAAGTTTTGAGTTTTCTTTGACGAAAACTTGCTTGATTTTGTAGGAAACTTATATAAGGATACAACCATCCCATCTCTCTCTATACATCAAAGGATCACGATCAATTGAGTGACCCAATTGATCAAAATCAATCTATTACTCATTGTTGTTCGGCACGTCTCTCGACAGGGTTCGTTGTGTTCTAGGTGGCCTTATGAATCCTAGGATACTCCTGTTATGCTCCTTCATAACGGGCTGGGAGTTCGATTCGCTCTCTCCGGTGAGTTTTGTTATCTTTTTGGCCTCAATAACCTCTTTTCTCACCTATGGCATTCATTTTCACAATCCTCTTGCCCATGCCCCGCCTTTTTTCCTCTCTTTGGTGGCTCCCATTGTCAGATCGGTTGCCATGTGAAATGTCTTCACAAGAATCGTCTTCAGGATAGCCTGGCGCACCTAAGTGGTCTGCCGTCGTAGGCTTCTCTCGAAGCTCGCTAGATCCGGGCCGGTTCCTACCCTCAAATCAGCCCAAAGACTCTCACCTGAGGTCATCATATTTGGAGGAAGGAGAGGGGAGAGAAAACATGGATGGCCTTTTTTTTCCTTTTTCCTTTTCTGAAGCAATTTTTTTTTTTTTTTCCTTTTTGACACGATGGAAAAGCTTCTCTCACCTACAAACGGACCCCACACGTGATGGACAGCAAACATGAATCTTCTTCTTTCTCTCGCCATGGACATCAAACCCGTCGCAGGTGGCTGCGTCTACTGGCCGGGGCTGGCCACGGCCACCGGGCGGGGCAGATGGCGCCCGTTGGGGCTACGCTCGGCCGGGGCTAGCCGCGGAGCAGAGGTCGCTGAGCGCGCTAGGCGTGTTGAGCTCGCGACAACGGAGAAGATGTCACGACATTGCGAACGGGAAAGAAGTCGCGGACTAAAAAGAAGGGAAAAAGAATGAACCGTTATCTACATAACTAGTGGTGGGTGAGTAATTTTTTTTTTTTGCCCAAAAGCTAGTGAAAGCAGGAGGAGGGATGCTTTTGGATTCGTACTAGAAAAAAATGGCTTCTGGACACAAAGACATGATTTTTTTGGCCCTATCTTTTTGACTCTTGTAAAAGCAAAACAAACTTTTAGCTAACTACAGTTTTACTTTTAAATTTTCGCTAGCTAAGGGTGCATCCAAACACGCCAACTGTGTGATAGTGACGCTGCAGTTGCAGAGAGAGACGGAGCTGGCCGCTGGCGCCTTGGGAGTTGGGACGCGATGGTAGTCCGAGTGTCCGACGCCGTGGCGCGCCGCCGCCGCCCGCGCCTCGCCGTGTCACACGGTCCCAGAGCCGGGTGGACCGCATCAGCGCACTCCCGGACGACCTCCTCCTCCAGGTCCTCACCCGCCTCCGCTGCGCCCGCACCGCCGCGCGCACTGCCCTTGTCGCCCGGCGGTGGCGCCGGGTCTGGCCGGGCCTCCTGGAGGTCTCCTTCCGCGGGCTCGCGCCCGACGCGATCCACGAGGCGCTCGCCCGGTTCACCCGCACTTCGCTGGAGGCCATCGACATCCACGTCTCCAGGGGCACGGGACATCGCGCGCTGGACGCGGGCAGCGTCACCTCCTTGCTCCACGCCGCCGCCAGTCGGTCGCCGGTAAAGCTCGCCCTCACCATCCCGGTGTTCCTATACTTCCCGGTCGACCTGCCCCGTTTCGATTTCGCCACGTTGATCGAGCTGGACGTGTGGGACGTCCGCTTTGCCCTGCCGGCGGCGACGGAGTTCCCCAAGCTGGAGACGCTGTCCCTCTCGGGCTGCATCATGGACCTCGCCGCCTTGGTGCCCCGCTGCCCGCGCCTGCGCGTTCTCAGCGTCACCAGGACTCCGCACGAGGCGGACACGATCACGGTGCACTCGGCGTCGCTCCAGGAGCTCGTCGTGAGCGCGTTCCGGTCCACGCCCACCATCGACATCGTGGCGCCCGCGCTCAGGAAGCTGACGCTGGCCTCGCACCCAGACAACAGCTTGTCGGTGGTGGCACCAATGGTGGAGGAGGTCGCTTGGAGGTGCTTGTACTACTCCATGTATGTTGGGATTGGCAAAATGTGGCGTGTCTTCTCCATCAACATACGGGCGGTGGAGAAGATGGATCTCACCGATGACGACAACAACGACGACGAGGGTAGCCATCAGCCCCGTCGAGCCCATGCCCTGTCGCTGGACATACTTGACGTTCGTCTCAGTCTCTCGTGCTCATTCATCTCCTAGCTAGCTTCGTGGACTTTAACTGGCTTCTAAATTGTTGTCTGCCGCCGATTGTTTTGTAGACCCCTTATCCTTCACAGAGGGACTTTGCAGAAGAACTGGAGAAAATCCCTGTTACCTCCTTCTCTGTCCTAGAGCTGAAGATCGCAACATGGGGCCATGTTCTTGGACCACTGCTGTTGAACCTGCTTCGGATTTGCACTGCAGTGCAAAGGCTTGACATGGTTCTTATGGATACCCGGGTACGTATCTACTCTTCTTTAAATACGTCTAATGATTGTGTGTTTGCAGTGTAATTAATACATTTTGTTCTAGGTGCAAGTGACAGACTCTTGCTACAAATGGTGTCATTGTCAGAAGAATAACACGAAATGGATAATAATATGGCCCTGTTTAGTTGCACCCAAAAATGCCAAATTTTTCAAGATTTTTCGTCATATCGAATCTTTGGACGCATGCATGAAACATTAAATATAAATAAAAAATAAAACTAATTACACAGTTTAAACGAAATCCACAAGACGAATCTTTTAAGCCTAATTAGACTATGATTGGACACTAATTACTAAATAACAACGAAAATGCTATAGTAGCGTTTTGCCAAAAATTTTGACATCCAAACTGGCCCTAGGTGCAAGTGACAGACTCTTGATCGATCTCACAGAAGTGCAGATCAAAGGATTCAAAGGTGATGATGAGGAAATCAATTTCCTCAAACTGCTCTTCAGATGTGCACCGATGCTTAAGACGATGACTCTGAAACTGTCTGGCGAGGTCACTGGTGACTGGTACAACATATTCCTCGACACCGTCCTGGAGTACCCTTATGTGAACTCCAGTGTTTGTATCGGTTGATTAGCATTTAGCATGCTTCAAGCTACAGTAAGAATCACTTGAACTACTTTAGCAGTACTTTTTAGCGAACGAACAATGACTATGTTTGCTTTGCTGAAAAGTTATGACTGAAAGTACTGTTCGCTGATTTATTGTGAGAGAAAAATACCGTTCATTCGTTAAAATAGTATGGTTCATGAGACAAACGAACAAGACCAAATATTTTTCTCTCACAATAAATCAGTATAAGCATCAACATAAACCAAATTTTAGCAAAGTGACCATGTTGTGGATGCTGAATGTCTGCGTTTCCAGTCAAAGCCAATCAGTCTTTTCATTTTTTGACCCCGTACGTAATGAGTCAAAGGTCCTCTTCGTTTGTCTTACGAGCCTTACTGTTTCAACAAATAAATAATATTTTTCTCTCATAACAAATCAACAAACAATACTCCCAGCCATAAGCTTATCAGCTAATCAAACCTGACCAAAAGCTGTTTTTAGCTTCAGCACGTTGTGTCTGGTCGCTTGCTTCATTTATTGCAGCTGACCGGGTGTTCATGCCTTCCATTGCAAGCCTCTCTCCCCTCTTGCGGATGAAGAAGCGTTTTGTTTTGCTTTATTTTAAACAAGTTTATACATTTTGACTAATTATATTAATATTGATAATTTAATTTTAAATGTTCTATGGCTACATATATAATTATGTCAGATAACAAATTCAATATGTTGAGTGTTGTGGTGCAAGCTGAAATAACTATTTATACTATTGTAGAATTGAGAGGGTAGACTAGAACCTAATATTATACCAATAGTGGTGAAATATATTTATCTAAGTTTAAGTTATTGACTCACGCGGGTTTCACATTTTTCTTGATTTATTGTAAGATTTAACAATGATATTTGTTTAGTGGTAAGTGACTGTCCTGTTCGGTGTGAAAGAAAAACATTATTATTTCACTAAAAAGGTACGTCTGATAAGTTCAAGCGAACAGGGCCGACGTGTCCCTTGCTAGTGAGGCACATGTGCTATCGGTCTAGTTTTTTTTGGAAGTGCTCCTGGAGATAGACCCTGTTCACTTTGCTGAAAAGTCATGGCTGAAAGTAGTGTTCGCTAATTTGTTATGAGAGAAAAATATTGTTCGTTCGTTGAAATAGTACGGCTCATAAGACAAGCGAATAGGGCCATAGTATTCATGTGTACGTGTGTTTATACGGTGCGCCGTGAGTTTCTGCATCTACAGTGTGTTACCCACTATTTTTTTGGGTCTATTCTGAATTTGGCTTGTTATAAGTTAAACTTTTTCTAATTCTAGTTAAGTTACAAAAGAGAGTAATATCATATTAGTTTTATTGAATTCCTCATAAAACATGTCGTGTTTTCTTTTGGACTTCAGGTATTAATATAATTTTCAGGATGATAGTTAAAGTTAGAGAAATTTAACTTAAAAAACTAAACGAATCTGCATCTCTCGATCTTGTGAACCCCCTCTCTATATATGAGGGATTGTCGACGAAATATGGTCGGCAGTCTATCCAGGGGTATGCCCAAGTTAGTAGATTGTCGGCAGACAGATGCGCAAGCCACAAACAAGATGGTGACGCAAGACACACGAGGTTTTATCCAGGTTCGATCGTCGAGAATGCGTAATACCTACGTCCTACGTCTGATTGTATTGTTGTATGTCAATGAGAGATGTTTTTTAGAGGGGTCCCCTGCCCGCCTTATATAGTCCGAGGGGCAGGGTTATAGATCTGGAAACTAATCCTAGTCAGTTATAATTGCCATAGGTGACTGGATAAGGATTCCTATTCTAACCGACCGAGATCTTACTTGATCGCCAAATCTGTCTTGACTCCTTGCGCGGGACTCCGAACAGGTTGGCCGGGCCGCGCGTCGCCGTTTGGTGGACCGGACCCACTGATTCGGGCTGGCCCAATCTTAGCCGTAAGGGTATAGGGGTTAATACCCCCACAGCTAGTCCCCGAGCACCATGTGTTTTGCTGCGACACGCCACTTTAACCTTCTCCGAATAGTGAAGCTTGAGTTTTTGACATTTCTGACCACCGTTATTGCCGGAGAAGTAGACTGTCCGAAGAATGTATGGTGCTCTTAAGAAAAAAGAAAAAGATTTCCATCCTATGAAGTGTGCCCACTTGTATTTCTAAAAAGAAATGTAAGTGGATCCTGAGGCGTAGCATCCTTGATCATTAGAGGCGTAAGGGTCGAAAAACAAACACATTCGCCGCAAGGTAAAGTGTGCCCACTTAGTCCCCGAGCCTGGTAGTAGGTGACGTAGGCACGTGGTGCCAGGGTCTAAAAAGAATTCCCAGTTAAGTTGAAAACCCAATCGTCGTACAGGCAACACGAGATGCACCGGCAGGTGCATCGTACCGATGTAGTCCCCAAGCTTGCTGGAAGGCGAAGTACAAACCTTGTAGCAAGGTCTAAATAAATGTCTCTCCACTGTATGTGAGTACAAATCACATGTAGCCGAGGAGAACAATCTCCGAGCAGTGGTCGGGACAGTTCCTGAGCACATTGGTGGTGGGAGCAGTCCTCAAGCACGGTAGTGGTATGTGCGATCCCGAGCACGGCGTTGGTCCATGCGATCCCCGAGCACGACAGTGGTCTAGGCGATCCCGAGCACACAGCGGTGGTCTAGGCGATCCCCGAAACACGGCGGGGTCTAGGCGATCCCAAAGCACAGCAGTGAGTCCAGACCATACTTGAGCACAAGACATGCAAAGAAAAAATGAACGCCGCTTGTACTATTATTTGGTGTATTTATTTATCTTCTTACTCTGTCAAGTCCAATCATACACGTCTGGTCAAAAAAGCAGACAGGTACAACACGTCATACTGTCTTCTTGCCCTTTCTAGCAAACAGTCGTTTGGCACCTGTAAAGAGGTGCGTCAATGTGGGCCCTCTCACACTAGCAACGAAGAGGCGCGTACACTGGTAACGAAGGGGCGCATTTATTATGAGATCTCGAGGTTGTGAAAAGAACCGTATGTATGTACGTACAAGACATCTCTCCCAAGAATCTCGGGCGGATGAAACGACGGAAATCTTGGTTATTTATAATATAGAACTGGTAAGTTATTTTTTACCAACCCCCATTATCATTCGCCGTCGCAAACTTCTTCTTCCTCTTGCCAAACCCTATTCCTCGGAAATCATCGCCCATCACCCCTCCACCGTAACCACCCCTTTTAGCAAGGATAGATTAATGGCGAAGAAAAACGCCCAGAAGAAAGCCGGAGTCATGGCGAAGGAGTGGTGGAAGTCAAGGAGCAATGATCAGACCATCGAAGACCTTGTCACCATGGGAGTGCTCCATAACAAGGCACTCGTGGGATGGCGCGCGCCGGAAGGAGAAAGCTACCCCGATCCACAACCAGGTGAGATTGTGGTTTTCGAGGATTTCTTCAAGCGGGGTTTTGGGGTTCCAGTGCACCCTTTCCTCTAGGGGCTCTGTTTGTACTATGAGATTGGGATTTGCAATCTGCATCCCAATTCAATTCTTCTTGTCTCCACCTTCATCCATCTTTGCGAAGCATATGGTGGCTTCCAGCTCCATTTCGACCTCTTTCGCCATCTTTTCTGTCTGCGGAAGAAAGGGAGCGGCGGCTCGAAGATAGCCGGAGGCGTATATCTCAATCTGCGCGATGGGATGAAAGCCCAGTACTTGCATTGCCCTTGGAACACATCGCTAGATGAATGGTACAAGAAGTGGTTCTACATCTGCGAAGAGCCAAACACGATCACCCTGTGCGACGTGGGGTTCATTCTGGAGAAGAAAAACAGCTGGTTGGAGAAACCCGAGCACTTGGAATAGGTTGCAGAACTGCTTGGGATGATCCCATGGGGGAAGCTGGATGGTCCAAGCGTGGTCGGAAACTTCATCAGCCGAAGGATCCAACCCTGCCAGAGGAGGGTACATCCTGGTTACGAATACTAGGGAAGCGTAGATCCAACGAGGACCAGAAAAGAGGCGCTTGACAAAATCGAAGTCAAGGCCAGGATTGGGGAGCTATTCAACTTAGCAGATCCCAATTATGTCAGGTTAAACGACATCGAGCACGCCTTCAAGCTGGCTCGACCTCCCCCAAAGGTAAATTATGCTTCCTTGTACCTGTAGAGTTATGTTGTAAATAAAAATTGACTGTGTTGTCGCCTTTATGTTTCCCAGAGTAATGGTCATGACAGGGCATCAGTGTTCGTGTCTCCACCCCCTGATGTGGATTGGCCGCAAGTTGCTGGCCCAACCCCCAGACCAGTGCCAGGGCCGAAGACGTCGACTGGGTCGTACTTGGGGTTGGAGAGGAGGCAACGGCCAGGGCTACTGGCAAGCGGCCGGCAGCCAACAAACGTCGTAAGGCCATCTTCCCTCTGTCAGATGATGAAACAGAGGATGCCGACATCTTTCGACTCATCCCTCGAAAGAGGAGGAGACAACTGGAGTTGACGGAGCAGGGTGGCTCCTCTGTGTCAGCAGGGATCGCATCACCGACCACTGCAACACAGATGACAAGCGGCAAAGGGGTCGAGCACCAGGCCCCGACACCAGTACTGGTCATGGAAAAAGACCCAGTGGAACCCACCGAGCACGTGGAGCAAGCACGGTCGAAGAGACGCTCCTTCGCCACGTTATTCCGTGCTTCCGAGCTGTAAGTATTTGCAACCTTGATGTAAGCTTACAATTTGTATTGAATACTATTGTTTTCTAAACTTATCTCTGATATATTAGGTCGGCGTCCACCGAAAATCCCGACCAGCGGCCAGGTGCGGCACGGCTTCGCCAGCAATGACGGAAAGAACTGCCCAGTAGCCGGATGTGGAGGAACCTGTAGAAGAAAATCCACCAGAAGCTCAGCAGACGAGCGGCCAGACGATAGTCCCCGAGCAGCTAGTCGAGGAGAGAGCCTAGCCAAGTATTAGTGCTCCGAGCACTACCCCTGCTGAGGGGGATACCTCGACGCCAAGGGGACCGGACCAAGCCGAGGAGCAGCAGCCGAA